AAAGTGAATTATATTGTGTTATTGTAGCTTAAAGGTTTTTATGTTATTATTATAGTCTAAAGGGTTTTATGTTATTATTATAGTCTAAAGGGTTTTATGTTGTTCATTAGGGCTCTACCACGGGGCAAACCCGCGCCCTTTATAGCTGTGACTGGTAATCCTATTAACTGATTAAGAACAGCCACAAAAGTGACGGGTAATTAGCAGTTTTAAATTAGGGACGGCCAAGCCTGAATCTTGGGGTCTCTGATCTACTTCTTCTGCCCATGTGTCACACAAGGTGTTATTAAGCTTGAAAGTGTCAATGATAATTGCTCAAAGTTTTAAAGTTTTTTAGAAAATAAAACGTGTTTTAAATAAATCATTGCTAATATGGTATTCAAAGAATGAACCTAGCGATCAGCTGCCATATCAGGCTTAAGGAAGTTTATTTGTAATTAAGCACAAAACTACACAATGGGCTATCTGTGCTCTGCCCACCACGGTTATCGAAACCTGGATTCTAGTATTGTAAGTCCGCAGACTTACCGCTGTGCCACAGGGGGGCGCTTAAGGAAGAAAAAATATAGATATAGTGGTATGTTGCAGGTGGAAGAAGGGAGATAAGACATTGTATGAAAATAAATAAACAACACTTCATTGACAAAAGACAATAGAAACAGTAGAATGGCTGATCGTGTGATGGTAGAGCTAATGCACTAAATATTGTTGAAATAAATGGTTGAAACTATATTTAATAAAAGAAAATTGAAATAAACCTCACTTGAGAATAAACTGAAGGCGGTGGGATTGATGATGCGCACACACGATGAGCAGGTTTAAAACAAGGCGGAAACTCTTATATTATGTTCTTGTTCTCACAACAACAAATGAGAATATAACTGAACAGATGAGCAATTATTCACATCCTCTCTCTGTAGGCCCATCATGGCCAGCCCCCCAGTGACACAGCGGAATGTCTGCGGACTTACAACGCTAGAAACCGGTTTTCGATACCCGTGGTGGGCAGAGCACAGATAGCCCATAGTGTAGCTTTGTGCTTAATTACAAACAAGCAAACTAAATTTAAATTATAATTTAACTCAATTTAATACCATTCGAAATTTTAATAAGTAACATATCCAACTCCATTTTTCCTGTCTGTGATCTTTATCACGTGCCACAAGTTGACGTGTAAATTCTGGTGAGTATAAAAGCAAGTATAAAAGTATAGGGCGCTCGACTCGCAATCTGAGGGTCGCGGGTTCGAATCCCCGTCCCACCAAACATGCTCGCCCTTTCAGCTGTGGGTGGGGGGTATAATTTTACGGTCAATTCCACTATTCGTTGGTAAAAGAGTAGCCCAAGAGTTGGCGATGGGTGGTGATGACAAGCTGCCTTCCCTCTAGCCTTACACTGCTAAATTAGGGACGGCTAGCGTAACTTTACGCGAAATTCAAAATAAACAAACAAACTCTCTCTGTAACTGACCATTCACAACACAAGTATCTGAAGGCATCACTTTACAACTAGCATCGCATGAACGAGGAGATGACTCTTGACCAAGTCCTACAGAAAGTAACATTTGGGGTAGAATTAGCATACGACCTCGACCGGATTTAGCATGATCCAAATTAGAACTTTAGAAAATATATATTACAGAAGAGTGACTGTAATATATATCATAGAAGAATTAGATACGTAGTATTTATCTAAAAAATGAATACCAACTTTCAATTTGTATTCAACATCTCTTTATAGCCGGATATCTGGAAATTGGAAATAGTGATTAGTGCTCTACTTTTATAACTTATTACAAAAAGGACCCGATGATCAGAATAATGTACAATGTTAAAGAAAAAAACTCTAGTTTGGAATATGATATTGTGTGAAATCTGAGAAAAGAAAATATTAAAAGTTTAGAAATCTTTAAGATGTTGGTGAAACAAAGAATGGGAAAAACATCAGCTGGGCAGAATGGGATGATGCTCCAATAGGATAAAAAAACAGAACTTTGATGGATCTGTTTTAAGCGCAAAGTTGCACAATAGTTATCTGTGTTGTGCACTAAAGGGATCGAACGTTGAATTTTAACACTATAAGCTCTCAAGCTTACCGGTGAGCCACTTCAAAGGGAGCTTCTAGATGGGAAAAGGCAAAAGATGAGTGAGACACGTCATTCGAGGAGATCATTTGATGGAGGTCCTAGAAGGAACGGTTCAAGGTAAACGAGTTATGAATAGTGAGATAAAAGCACTGTTAAAATCTGAAAGATGGGGGGTCGTACGGTGAGAGGACAGCAGAAGTTAGTGGTAGTTGGAGTAGGGACTTTCGAACTAAGAACTTGTCCTCGAACAGTATACTCAATAATAATTTCAACAAAAAAAAATGTTTCAATGGACCACTTCAGCTAAATTTTCAACATGCATAAGTAGAAACTATGATTATTTAAATTTACTTGTCATCAGGCATTAATATTAAGCCTGTAATATTTTTAACACTGCTCTCTCTATATATCTGATCCCTTAGGTACTTTTCTAGAATTAGAAGAGTGTATAATAACAGTATTCCAACCACACTATATTTACTGTACGAGTAAATTTTTACGTCTGTTCAATCTTGAATCATCTTCATCCTTTACAATCGCAACATTCACAGGTTGTGATTAAATCTTTAATTAAACCTATTTGCAAGTAATCTTTTAGGTTACATATGATATTGGATTTTTTTACCAGTTACATTGGAGGTAGTAACAAAGCAATCTACTTGTCTATTAGTTGTTAATACACGCACATTCGACGAAATACAATTGGCAGCTGTAAGCTAGATATCCACGGATGTATGGTACATCAATACAGTTACCATACCTCTATTTATGGGTATAGGGCGGGACTGTCCTAAAAGCATTGAAAACCAAAATGATTTGCTTTTATATTCACCAGAATTTACACGTCAACTTGTGGCACGTGATAAAGATCACAGACAGGAAAAATGAAGTTGGATATGTTACTCATTAAAATTTTGAATGGTCTTAAATTGAGTTAAATAATAATTTAAATTTAGTTTGCTTGTTTGTAATTAAGCACAAAGCTACACAATGGACTATCTGTGATCTGCCCACCACGGGTATCGAAACCCGGATTCTAGCATTGTAAGTCCTCAGACATACCGCTGTGTCACTGGGGGGGGGGGCTTTAAATTTAGTAGTTAAATTATACTTAGGATTTAGTAGTTAACTAAAAGCCGATATATAGTCAGTTTATGATATTCGCCAACAAGATTGATACACACACTTTTCTTTCTTAACACAAATACATTTTAATATACACACAACAATTCAATTTACAATAACACTTATTACAAATAGTTATTATAAACAAAAGTTTCACAAACTTACAAGCACTATAAAATATTCTTTCTAGTCTGGAATTTCTTCGATATCTTATCGAGGGTTCACGATGAGCGAGTTAATTACGAGTTGACGTAGGTACAATTCGCTTAAGGGGAAGCTAACTAGCTCTGTCCTTCGTTATTCACGAGTCACACGCGCTGAGTCTTCCACGATGAATTTATATAATTTTTTCGTAAAATACTAATGTCTGAAGAGAATCCACTGACGTTAAATGATTTGTAATGCTCGAACTTTGTGAATACTCCTGGTCAAATATCTGAAGGTTTTTGATTGATAAGC